GAAAGGTACGATTCCTGGCAAGGGCATGTACCTTGGTTGCGGGCACATCCCCGGTAGGGGGTGTGCAAGAGGCAGCTGGTCGATGTTTCTCTCTCATCGATGTTTCTGGCTCTCTGTTCCTCTCTCTTCCTCTCTGTAAAAAATCAATAAAATATATTTTAAAAAGAAAAAAAAGAAATAGTGACAAAAAACTTCTTCATCCTGGTTAAGGAAAATGTCACACAAGTGCAGGAGGCACAGAGGTCTCAATCAAGAGGAACACAAAGACACCCACACCTAGATACATCATAATTAAAATGGCAAATGCTAAAGATAACAAGAGAATCTTAAAGGCAGCAGGAGAGAAATAGAAAATTACCTACAAAGGAGTTCCCATTAGAATGTCAGCTGACTTCTCAATAAAAATACTTTAGGCCAGAAGGAAGTGGCATGAAGTACTTGAAGTAATGAAAAGCGAGGGCCTAAATCCAAGACTACTATATCCAGCAAAGATATCTTTAAAATTGAAAGTGAAATAGAAAGCTTTCAAGACAGCCGAAACCGGTTTGGCTCAGTGGTAGAGCGTCGGCCTGCGGACTGAAAGGTCCCGGGTTTGATTCCGGTCAAGGGCATGTACCTTGGTTGCGGGCGCATCCCCGGTGGGGTTGTGCAGGAGGCAGCTGGTCGATGATTCTCTCTCATCGATGTTTCTAGCTCTCTATCTCTCTCCCTTCCTCTCTGTAAAAAATCAATAAAATATATTTAATAAAAAAAAAAAAAGAAAGAAAGAACGCTTTCAAGACAAAAAAAAAAAAAAAGTTAAAGGAGTTCATTACCACCAAACCAGCAATGCAAGAAATCAAACCAGCAATGCAAGAAATGTTAAAGGAAATGCTTTAAGAAGAAAAGGAGAGGAGGAACCAAGATGGTGGTGTAGGTAAACACCAGTACTCACAGCCTCCAATAACCACATCAAAATTACAGCTAAAATACAGAAAACCAACATTCAGACCTGCCTTAAAGCTGGCTGAATGGAAGTCAGAAACTATAGAAGTAAAGAAGAAAGCACATTGAGACTGGTAGAAGGGGCAGAGGTGCAGAATGGGCTGCTAGCACCCACATGTACCGTTTTTTTAATCAGGAGGGAGATAGTCTCTGCAGATGCTGCCAATTTGGAAAAAAGGGTCCCAGCCCCACACCAGACACCCAGCCAGGGTCCCAAAGCTGGGAAGAGAAACCCCCATAACTATGGGCTTTAAAAACCAGGGATGCAAGGCTGGTACAATATTTATAAATCAATAAATGTGATGCATCGCATAAACAAATTGAAGGATAAAAAATACACGATCATATCAATTGATGCAGAAAAAGCATTTGACAAAATCCAGCACCCTTTTTTTGATAAAATCTCTCAGTAAAGCAGAATAGAGGTATCATACTTCAACATAATAAAGGCCATATATGACAAACCTACAGCCAACATAATACGCAATGGGCTCATCAGTCAGACAAGAAGAAGAGATAAAAGGCATCTAAATTGGAAAGGAGGAAGTAAAACTGTCAATTGCAGATGACATAATTTTGTACATAGAAAACCACCAGGAAATTATTAGACTTAAGTGAATTTGGCAAGGTAGCAGAATACAAAATCAACATCCACAAATTTTTATATACCAATAATGAACTCTCAGAAACAGAAACTTTAAAAAAAAAATCCCATTTACCATTGCAACAACAATAAAAATAAGGTAACTAGAAATAAACTTAACCAAGGAGGTATAAGACCTGTACTTGGAAAACTATAGGACATTGAAAAAAGAAATAGAGGAAGATTCAAACAAATGGAAATATATCTCATGAACATGGATTGGAAGAAGGAACATCATTAAAATGTCTACACTACCCAAAGCAATCTACAGATTCAAGGCAATCCCTATTAAAATAGCAATGGCATACTTCACAGAGCTAGAACAAATACTCCAAAAATGTATATGGAACTATAAAAGACCCTGAATAGCTGCAGCAATCTTGAGAGAAAACAAAGTAGGAGGGATCACAATACAGGATAGCAAACTATACTACAAACCCATTATAACCAAAACACCCTGGTACTGGCACAAAACAGGCATATAGACCAATGATTCAGAACAGAGATCCCAGAAATTGAACCACATCATTATGGTCAATTAATATTTGACAAAGGAGGCAAGAACATACAATGGAATAAAGACAATCTCTCCCATAAATGGTGCTGGGGAAACTGGACAGACACATGCAAAAAGATGAAACTAGACTACCAACTTACACTATATACAAGAATAAACTCAAGGTGGATAAAAGACTTAAATGTAAGTCATAAAACTATAAAAATCTTAGAGGAAAATGTAAGTAGTAAAATCTCAGGCATCTCATGTAGCAATATGTTTATGGATACATCTCCTAGGAAAAAGGAAGCTAAGGAGAAAATAAACACATAAATTACATCAAAATAAACAAATAAACTACATCAAAGTGAAAAGCTTCTGCCCAGCAAAAGAAACCACCCTCATAATGAAAAGAAAACCCACTGTATGGGAGGACATATTAGTTAATGATACATCTGATAAGAGGTTATTATCCTAAATATATAAAGTACTCATACAACTCAACTAAGACAAACAACCCAATTAAAAATGGACAGAAGACCTTAGTAGACATTTCTCCAAAGAGGATATACAAATGGCCAAGAGACACATGAATAAATGCTCAAAGTCAGTAATCATCAGAGAAATGCAAATTAAAACCACAATGAGCTATCACCTCACACCTGTCAGAATGACTGTCATCAAAAAATTAACAAACAAGTGCTGGTGAGGGTGTGGACAAAAGGGAGCACTAGTTCACTGCTGGTGGGAATGCAGATTGGTGCAGCCACTATGGAAAACAGTATGGCGTTTCCTCAAAAAAATTAAAAATGGAACTTCCATTTGATCCAGCAATCCCACTTCTGTGAATATAGCCTTTAAAAACCAAAACATCAATCAGAAAGAATATATGTACCTCTCTGTTCATAGCAGCATTATTTACAATAGTTAAGATTTGGAAACAGCCCAAGTGCCTATCAATAGATGAATGGATAAAAAAGCTGTGGGACATTTACACTATGGAATGCTATGCAGCTAAAAAAAAAAAAAAAAAAAAAAAAAAAGGATCTCTTAGCCTTTGGGACAGCATAGATGGACATGGAAAATATTATGCTAAGTGAAATATCACAAGATGGCACTTATTTGTGGAATCTAATAGTATCCTGCTATTTTACTGAGCTCATTTATCATTTCTAACAGTTGTTTGGTGAATTCTTTAAGGTTCTCTCTATATAAAATTATGTCATCTGCAAGTGTTGACAATTTTACTTCTTCCTTTCTAATCTGGATAACTTTAATTTCCTTTTCCTATCTGATTGTTGTGACTAGGACTTCGGTAAAAGTAAACAACCTTGATTTATTCCTGATTTTAAGAAAATGCTTTTAGCTGTTTTCCATTAATTATGACAGTTGCTGTGTTATGTTGAAGTATATACCCTCTATTCTCATTTTGTTGAGAGTTTTTATCATTATACTGGATTTTGTCACATGCTTCTTCTGTATCTAGCAATATTACCTCATGTTTTTTATCTTTCATTTTGTTTATGTGGTATAACATGTTAATTGATTAGCAGATATTGAACTAACCTTCAATAGGAATCCTAGGAATAAATCCCACTTGATCATGGTGTATGATCTTTTTCATGAATGGCTGAATTTTGGTTTGCTAATGTTTTGTTGAGGATAGTTGCATCTATATTAATCATGGATATTCGCCTATAATTTTCTTTTTCATAATATATTTGTCTGGTTTTGGAGTCAGCATTATGCTGGTCTCGTAAAATGAGCTTGGGAGCCTTCCCTCCTCTTAAATTTTTTGGAATAATTTGAAAAGGATAAGTGTTATTTCTTCTTATAATACTTAGTTAAATTTACCTGTGAAGCTATCTGGTCCAGGACACTTACTGATTCGATTTCACTGGCAGTAATTGGTCTGAACCAATTTTCTGTTTCTTCTTGATTTGGTCTTAAGAGATTGTTCCTAGGAATTTATCCATTTCTTCCAGATTGCCCAATTTGCTGGAATAGAATTGTTGATATATTTTCTTACAATCCTTTATATTTCTATGGGCAGTTCTCTTTCATTTCTGATTTTCTTTATTTGGGTCCTCTCGTTTTTTTCTTGATGAGTCTAGTTAACATTTTTACCTTTTCAAAGAGTGCTTGGTTTCTTTGATCTTTTGCATTTTTTCTTAGATTGTATCTTATTTACTTCTGCTCTGATCTTCATTATTTCCATCTTTCTACTCACTTTCAGTTATTGGTAGTATTAGTCAGTTTTTAAATTTTTAATTTTTTGTGATGTATTTTCTTATTCTAATTTAATATTTCATTTTATATTTAATTTAGTATTTTTAATTTTGAAATGTTCTCCTTAAAATGGGCCCCTGAATTGTGTAAGCTTCCTCTCCTGGGAGGAGGTGGGATAGTGTGATAAGACTCAAGTTCCCTGCTTGCCAGTGTGTCCTAACTATATTCATAAATTTGTCACATCGGCATACTGCCTGACCTGCTTCCATATTTTCTTGAAATTGGCTTTTTTTTTTATGTAAACAGTAGATCTTACATGTATCTGGAACCCTTGGCTTGGTGAGCTACTTGCGTTTTTTAGTGTTCCCTGTGTGGGCATGCCAGTGGCTTCACCCTAGGGAAGTGGTGTGAGACAGGCTCTGGCTAGCCAAGGCGCTGAGGAAGGTAGGAGGGCAGGGCAGGGCAGGGCAGTAGTGGAGGAAGCTGGGTGGGCCAACATCTCACTAGGTCTCCTGAGGGGCTTAGAGCTTCCAGGAGTGAGTAGGTCTGTCCTCCCCATTTGCCTCCAGGGCTAGGCAGCCCTCACGGACACAGCAAGTTGAAGGGAGGGCAGGAGGCCATGGGTCAAGGGGATGACCTGTCTTTCAGCACTGCTTTAAAGGACACTGCATCTGGCTGACGCCTGACATCCTCAAACGAGATGGCAACTGGGGCTCCTGGAGTCCATTCGGCTCCTGCTCGCGCACCTGTGGCACAGGCGTCAAGTTCAGGACCCGCCAGTGCGACAACCCACAGTAAGTTGGCCGTGGTGTTTCCCAGCTCTCCTGAGTTGCAGCTGTGGCTCCTGAGGCCCCTTCCTATCCTCAGGGTCCCTATTGCTGCATGCCATTCTGGAGAGAGTGCAAGGGCCGGCATCCTGTTCCCTGGGAAGAAGGTGAGACTCGGAGAGGGAAGCCTCATGGCCCTGGTTGCACAGCCTGCTGGGAGCAGAGCCGGCCCTGGAGCCCTGAAAACCTGGTCTCCTGGCCTGCTATCCATCCCCCGCAGGCTCTGCACCCTCCTCCAGACACTGGCTGGCTCTGTCCTTCCTGGCCAAGCGTATCAAGGACATAAGGTGGGACAGAGAACAGGAATCAGGAATAAGAAGGAGGAGGGTGCTCTTGGTTCCCAGATGCCAGGAACTGGAGCAGGGGGAGCAACTGTTTGTAGTCAGGCAAGGGGCAGGGCCAGCAACATGCTGCCTGAACCCAGCTACCCAGGAGAGAGAGAACCTGGAGAGGCTGCCCCCATGCCCACTGGACTCCTATTGCCAACCATGCTCTCCTTCTTGCTTCCCAAGTTTGGGGCCTGCTGTGCTGTCCTCCCTACCTCCTCCCTGTCCCTCTCATCCCCCACACACACTCCATCTTTCTGATGCATGCCCCCTCCTCGGCCCACAGCCCCTCTTCCTGCCTGTACCCTTAGCCTGGGCCTCCATGGAGAGGGGCACGGGGAGTCAGAATGCCGGGGTCCCAGGCCCCTGCAGCCCTGTGTAAGTCAGGGAGAGTCACTTAGGTCCCTCCCCTCAGGCCTCAGGCAGCCTGCCCATGGAGTGATTGTGGGTGCACGTACAGTAATGTGAACAGGACCTGGGTGCAGGAAAACTCCCACAGATGTCAGCTCACTGGCCTTCCGGCTGTCCATCCGCAGCCCTGGGCTCCCGGGAGACATGTGACTTTTGTCTTTCTCTCTTAGGCCAGAGTTTTAAAGATTTTCATTTCCAAGAAAATGTTAAAAATCTGGAATTTCACATAAAGAAAACAAATTTCTAGCCTTCAGATTGGGCACCATAGCAATACAGGCTGCCCCCACCCCCAACCATCTTCACTCGCCTTCCCTGCCCACCTGAACCCCTAGATATTTGGTTGGAATCCTAAGACCCTAAGCCTCAGTCCTGGGATCATCACCTTTCTTTGGACCCTGCCGTGGCCTCATCCGAAATTGTATTATGACTTTCTGTGCATGAACATTTTTCGGGGGAGCAGGTCTCTAGCTTCACATCACCTTTTCAGAGGAATGTGCCCCCAAATTTAAGCCCACCTCAGTCTCTGGTGCCCATCTAGACTGCTGGCTCTGCCTTTGCAGCAGCTTCCCTGCTTACTCAGCCGGGCTGCTGCATTTCTCTGGTAATGCCCTGAAATGGCCACCAGAGAGCCAGAGGGGTTCAGCAGTAATAGCTCTGGGGAGAAGGGTCAAGTCCATGTTGGCCAGGAAGGGTCTGGCGTCCTGGGCTGCAGCAGTGGGAGAGCCTGTCCCTCAAGGTCACTTGTGCCTCCTGCTGGCCACCCCAGCTCCTGGGGAGCTTTCTCCTCCCATTTCTGACTACCTCCTGCCCCGGGGCTCTAGGCTCCCATCCTGACTATGAGCAGAGGCAGGAATACTAGGAGCAGAGGCAGGAACCAAAGTGCCCTGCCTGACTCCCCTCAGGCACCCCGGGGATGCTTGCCTCAAGATGAGACTGACCAGACAGGAAGTTAGAATTACAGAGGCCATAGAATTCTGGGTAAGGACTGTGGGAATGCAACAAGCACTCAGTAAATGTCTCAGTTGTCCCCTTCACGTGCTGATGGAGTAACTTAGACTCCGGGTGCAGTCGAGAGAGCAGGTTCGGCCTGACTTCACTGCCCTCCATGGGCATCCAAGCCGGTTCCTCCTGCCTGATGCTGGGTTCCCGGGTTCCAGCAGACTCACCCCCTGGCCCGGTTCAGTAGAGAAGAGGTACACATTCTGACCTTTTTCACCCGCACACTCTAGGGATTTACCCCTCGGCTTTGCCCAGACTCCTTGATGGCAGCAGAGGTCAAGGGCAAGTGATGAGAGCAAAGCTATCAGTACAGCCTGTGAGCCCATCTGGTCCTGAAAGCCATCCGTCCCAGAGAATAGCCACGCCCTGCCCAAGGCCAGCATCCCTGCCAGACCGCATGCAGCTGTGACGGCTGTTCTTTCACGCCGGCTCACTCACATCTGGGGAGATGCGCGCAGCGGCAGCCCAGAGCATTTCTGAGCTCAGGGCTCCACACAACCTCTATGTCAGCAATGTGAGGCAGGCCTCCCCTTCATTCGTTGTCCAGCGATAACTGCGGGACTTCGTGCTGCCCATTTTAGGGTTACCCTCCCTGTGCTAGTCCCCAGCTCTTCCTATGACGCTGGGACCACTGTGAAGACGGCCGTGCAGCTCTAGCTAGACCTGCTTGCAGGACTGAGTTCCCACTGTGTTCTCTGCCCAAACCCTAGTGGTCGTAAAACTGCAAACAATCCAGTCCCTGGTGTTTCGCTTGCTCTTCCCCCTCCCAAACTCTCCAGCTCCCTCTGTTTTGGAGTCCACGTGGATTTCAATTCCAATCACTGTGCCTCCTGCCTGGGCTGGCCGGGGATTCCAGCAACAGCAGACCCTTCCTGCTTCCCCCACAGCGGCTACTGCTGCCCTGGCCCCCCTCGTCTGCAGCCAGGCCTGCACCCCCTTCTCCTGGTGACACCCTTGTTGGTATTGTCATTGGTCTAGGTTAGCGGTCGGCAACCTCATTAGCCAACAGAGCCAAATATCAACAGTACCATGATTGAAATTTCTTTTGAGAGCCAAATTTTTTAAACTTAAACTTCTTCTAACGCCACTTCTTCAAAATAGGCTCACCCAGGCCGTGGTATTTTGTGGGAGAGCCACCCTCAAGGGGCCAAAGAGCCGCATGTGGCTCACGATCCGCAGTTTGCTGACCACAGGTCTGTGGTATTATCAATGACCCTGGCGTCAATCTCAGAGTTACCCTTTCTTCCGATCTCCTATCGAACACTGAGGCCCCTTGGTTCTTCTTCCACACACTTTTCTGATCATTATTCCCCTTGACCCCCTGGAGAACACAGTGCCTTGGGAGGGGCCTCACAGAGGCATCTCCTTTCTCGTCCACTCTGCTGTGCTGCTGCATGCAGTCCCGCTTCTTGTTGCACGCAGAGTGTGACTTGCTCAAGTCTCAGGTGAGGCCTTGGGTTCTGTCTGGCTCTGCCACGATTGGCATATGGCAGCACTGTCGCCCCCAGCTCCTCCCAGGTTCTGGCCTGCCGCGCCCATCCTTCACCCTGCAGATGCACCCGCCAGCCAGAACCCCGGTGCCTTTTCTGCGGGGCTAGTGCGCTGTGGATCGTTCTCAGGGAAGTGAGGGGATTGCAGAAACAGCCCAATTCGCTGGGGTGGAGAAAGGTGGGGGGAGTGTCCATCGTGTGCCCCACACTTGGGAAGAGCCTGGGCAGTGGGCCTCTGCTATTTCAGAACTGCTCTTTGAGTGCCCACCCTGTGGCAGGCGCAGGCACAGACCTCCATGGAGAGGAGACACAGGGACTCGGGGAGGGGATTGCCAGCCCTCTGTACCTGATGCTCTGGGGCCTGGGAGGCTGCGGTGCTGCCCTGGTCTTGCCTGGCTCCCTTCGGTCAGCAGAGCTGACCCGGCACCTGAGACTCCTGCATCCCCCAATTTGTACAAGTGGAGCGCGAGTGCTGGCATCTTCCTCTGGCACCGAGCTGCAAGTCCTTTGCTTTCTCCTCCAGCCCGGCCAACGGGGGCCGCCCCTGTGCAGGCCTTGGCTACGATTTCCAGCTCTGCAACTCCCAGGACTGCCCCGACTCACTGGCCGACTTCCGTGAGGAACAGTGCCGGCAGTGGGACCTGTACTTCGAGCATGGTGATGCCCAGCACCACTGGCTGCCGCATGAGCACCGGGACGGTGAGGCTCTGAGTGGAGGCAGAGTGAGGCTCAGGACAGGGCAGGGTGGGTGGACTGGGGCTCACGCTTCCTGTGAGTCTGTGTGAGCAAGGCAGTCAGCCGCAGGGCTGCTGGGGCCCACTCCACGATGGAGGCTGGGGCTTGAGGCAGGATGACAGTCCCAGAGGGGCCTGGGCCAGGATGAGGGGAGAGGACCAGGAGGCTCAGCCAGGGCCAGACTCTGCTGCCTCCCTCCGCTGGAGGAGGCTGTGGGTGTGTTACTAAGGGGGTGGAGGTGGGGACGGAGCTGAGTGGATGTGGCCAAGGAGCCAGGCTACCTCCAGCCTTCTCATATCTCAGATGACAGTCAGGACTCAGTCAAGTGTCAGAAAAGGTAGCATGAACTACTTTGTGTGCTCACCGGTACTTATTGGCCCCTAGGAACTGAAAGGCCTGGCAGCTTCAGGCACGATTCGGTTTGTATTCTGCTTGGTTCCCCTCCCTCCTGGTGGGATTTTAAACATGAGGTGTTTGTTTCCTCCAGGCACTGGGCAGGGGCAGGCTGCCAGTGTGGGCCTGTCACCATCACCCTGCGTGTGATATACCAGCAGAGATCCCTGCAGGCAGGGGAGCCAGCACAGACACAGCCCCCCCCCCTCCGGAGGTGGGCTGCAGCCTGGTGGGCAGGGTGGATAGCCATCAAATAACCCAGCGTTTCAGTGACTTCTGAGAGAAATACTGAGAAGGGAAGATGCCAGGGAACCAAGACTGAATCAAGCGGCATCTTATTTGGGGTTTTAGAGAAGGCTGTCTTCAGTAGAAAAGCTGGCAAATAGTCCCCTGGTGTCGGGGGCCGAGGGGCCTGAGGCCTGGGCTACTCCAACAGCATCCTGGCTCCTGGGAAAAGCTCTTCCCAAGGAAACTCAAAGGGGGTGCAGTCTCCTGGCCCCTTTTCTTTTCCTGCCCCAGGACAGGTGTGGGAGTGGGGGGGGGGGGGGAGTGAAAAGGAGAGTGTGGGAGGGGAGTAAGTCTTAAGAAGACCCTCATGGGAATTTCTCATGAGTGGGCTTGGGAAAGAAGGTGAGCAGAGCAGCCCACACTTTCCCCTAACACCTCTCTTCCCTTCCAGCCAAGGAGAGGTGCCACCTCTACTGCGAGTCCAAGGAGACTGGGGAGGTGGTGTCCATGAAGCGCATGGTGCATGACGGGACCCGATGCTCCTACAAGGATGCCTTCAGCCTCTGCGTGCGAGGGGACTGCAGGGTGAGTGCTCTGGTGCCAGCGTGGGAGCTCAGGGTCCCCACTTCAGGCGTTTTGAGGGGACTCATGCAGAGTGTTGGACACGGCCCTTGGAGCAGGGCAGACCCCCGGCGAATGTCGGCCTGCCCCGCCGCTGTGCTGGAGGCTGGAGGCATTGAGTATGCCTCGGAGCACCATGGGGAACTTGAGGCTCCTCCTGAGAGATTCTAATTCCTAGGTTGAGGCTGGGACCCAAAGGCAGGATTTTTATGAGCCTCCCAGTGATCTCAACACACGCGGTCCTCGGTGACCCTGCCACATCCTGGCACTCTGATGGCCACTGGGCAGCTCACTCTTGCCCAGGGTGGCCCACCAGGGGTCTCATTGCTTGGTTCTTTGTATAAATGCTTTCTGTGTTTCCGGTAGTCATTAGGGTGTGTTTGGCTTCCCCCTTAGGCTTACACAGGAAACCATACTGTAGTGATGGAGCTCAGACTTGCCTCCTACCAGATTCCCTGAAACAAATGGGAGACTCTGTAGTTTGTGTCGATAGGACTGCGTGTATGTGCCATGTGGACTGACTCCTAAGGAGTCTTTGGCAGAGAACCTGGCTCAGTGGTCGGCAAACTCATTAGTCAACAGAGCCAAATATCAACAGAACAATGATTGAAATTTCTTTTGAGAGCCAAAATTTTTAAACTTAAACTTCTTCTAACGCCACTTCTTCAAAATAGACTCACCCAGGCCATGATATAATTTTGTGGAAGAGCCACACTCAAGGGAACAAAGAGCCGTATTTGGCTCGGGAGCCCCATTTTGCCGACCACTGACCTGGCAGAATGCAGTCACCCCTGCAGGAGGGAGTGAGACTGGAAGCACAAGGAGGTGGGGTGTCGGTCGGCCCCTCCCATCCACTCACGTAGAACCCCGGCCTAAGCTGAAGGAGGCTCCTCTAGGACACGGGACACGGGACGGGGGGGGGGGGGGGGGGGGCAGGCCTAGGAGGAGGCTGGCTGAGTCTGACCCTTGCAGGGAGGCCAGGTCACACGGTCTGCTCGGACAGTAGACCAAATCCTTAGAGATGAAGGCAGCAGTGTTTCCTCTGTACCCACGGGGCCTTGATTTATGGAGGTGACAGGGAGGACACAGAGAGGCAAGTGCCATTGAGAGAAGAATTCATTACTTACATTTCCCAAGAGAAGGGTATGCCATGGGGAAGCACCAGGTTTGTTGGGGGCAGAAGCCTAGGCCAGAACTCTCATTAGGGACCCTGGCAGAAAAAGGAGCGGGGCAGGGGAAACAGGGTAGGTTGGCCAGTTTGAGGAACTCTGGCAGGCTTCATTCAGCTCTATGGCTGGTCTCCAGTTGCCTGCTGCCTGGCCCTGGGACAATTGGGGGCAAGGGAAATGGTGTTCTGATAGGTGAGAGAGAAAGCAGGTTTGCATCTTAAAGGTGTGTTCCCAAGCTAGCCCTTTGCCATCTCTAAGAATGGTAGTCCTGGGACATCATAAGACATAAAATTAAAAACATATATGTGACCGATACAGGCAATAAGCATGGGAAACATTTAGTAGAAGAAGCTTTGAATGGCAGCTTCTAAATGCTTGTAAAAATAGCAGAGCAATCAGAGCATTAATTTACCATCTTAGTGGGAGCAGCCAGCTTCACTCCTGGCATTGACGATTTAAGAAGAGATTAAGTATTTCATTAACTAATGATGTTTTGAATAGTAACAGCAAGCTGATAATTTTTACATAATTAGAACAAACAGATACTTACATTTATATATGCTCATATTGCAAAATTTAGAAAGCAGAGGTGGCAGAAAGGAAAGATGGAAAACACAAAAGATATAGTAAGATAAACTATGTACTGCTAATACTACAAGTGAATGTGAGATTCTTATTTTAAAAGAATCTAATTCTAATCAAAAAATAATATCCAATGAATGTTGTCAATTAGGGAATATCAAAACACAATGACTTGGGAAGCTTAAAAGTGAAATGACATTAACTAGAGAATGAAAGCTAGGGCACCTGTAACATACATACACCGCAAGGAATCTAAAGAGAACCAATAATATGAATCTCACAGGGGCATTTGGTTTTGATAAAAGGGGTCATCCACTCCCTTGATAAAGTAATAACATGTGCCCTAACAGGTTTGGCTCAGTGGATAGAGTATCGGGCCTGCAGACTCAAGAGTCCCAGGCTCGATTCTGGTCAAGGGCATGTACCTTGGTTGTGGGCACAGTGGGGAGTGTGCAGGAGGCAGCTGATAAATGTTTCTAACTCTCTCTCCCTCTCCCTTCCTCTCTGTAAAAAAATCAATAAAATATATTTTTAAAAAATAATAACATGCTATCAAATATATCACTTAAAAACTGCTATGAGCCGAAACCGGTTTGGCTCAGTGGTAGAGCGTTGGTCTGTAGACTGAAAGGTCCCAGGTTTGATTCCGTCAAGGACATGTACATTGGTTGCGGGCACATCCCCGGTAGGGGGTGTGCAAGAGGCAGCTGGTCGATGTTTCTCTCTCATCGATGTTTCTAGCTCTCTATCTCTCTCCCTTCCTCTCTGTAAAAACATCAATAAAATATTTTTTTTAAAAAACTGCTATGAAATAAGCTGGCAATATTTGATATGATGGCTCACTGATAGACTTCCTAACAGATGGGAAGGCAGGAAAGTAGCTCCTCTGAACTTCGTGCCCCCTTGCCATGTGACAGACGCCCACGATCACTACCAGCCGCTCCCACCTTGGCTGGAACCGAAATGGAATCAAGCTGTGAGCCTCCTCTGGTCACAGCAGCCATGCAGAGCAAATCGGGGACATGTAGCCATCCCCATCCTGAGCTAACATTGGCCTATTAACCCTTTAAAATCTAAAGTGAGATTTCAGGCCAGGAGAAGGACCTGGCCTCCTGCACTTGGTTAAAGTCATTTCCACCTAGTTCAGTTCAGACCACTGTGCCTCCCGAAGGTCTGTAGACACCTGCCTGCGCCTGGATAGTCACACCACCTGAGGTGCGCTGGCCAGCAGCTGCCCAGACAAGAATCTACTGAGTCAAACAGTCTTCGCAGGCAGGACCTTTCGACTGTGATTGTTAGATATCCTGATTTCAGAAACAATAAAAGATCTTAGAACAGAGGAAAAATTATGACAGGCTATTTTAATATCTCTTAAAGCTGTTCATTCACTCTGGGGATTTTTTGTTCATCATCTGTGATTCACAGAACAAAAGCTCAGAGTAGCTGTTCTCAAACATTATGCTGCTTCATTTTTTCTTGTCCGGACATCCTTCTTCTCATCCACCCACGTGGGACTTCCACATACTGTCTTTGGTTGTACTCGGGCTGCGAGCCTTTTTGGAGGGAACACGAGAGTCCATGGAGAACTCCTAAGGGCTGCTCTCACCAAAGGCATGCGATCTCTGTGGTGGCTCCTGTCAGACAGGTTTCAGAGTCCGAGATGGAGCCCTCCTGATGCCAAGTCCTCCACTGGTACTTGTGCACACCTGGTTAGCATCCACCTGCCTCTGCCTTCTAGTTTCTTAGGATACCTAAGCATTGATCCCCCTCCTATGAGAGGCTGGAGCAGCCCTTCCAGGAAATACACTGCTAACGTTCTGCACCCAATCCCAGTGCAGGGGCTTTTCCCTATACCAGCAAGCAATTCTATGACGCCAGAGGGGAGTCCTACAGTGCAACTCAGTTCTGACACTGTCCGCCTGAAGATAATGTCAGATCCCACAGGTTTAGGGCTCAGTCTTACAATACCGGCCCCACCCCTTCCCACTGCCACCCAAAGTTCAGTTGTCACCTGTGCTTTGACCAACTGGCTATAGATTGGAGATTCCCACAACCCCCTCCTCGGGTTTGATTAATTTGGTAGAGTGCCTCACAGAACTCAGAGAATTGTTTCACTTACTTGATCACCGGTTTATTATAAGAAGATAAAACTCAGGAACAGCCAAGTGGAAGAGAAACACAGGGCCAGGTATGGGGAAGGGGCAGGGAGCTTCCACGCCCTCTCCAGGTGCACCACTCTCCAAACCTCACCTGTTCACCAACCCAGAAACTCTCCAAACCTCACCCGTTGGTGTTGTTGTGGAGTTTGCTTTACGTAGGTATGTAGGTATCGTTAACCTAAAGATAAAAAGCCTTTCAAAGTGAGAGGCAGCAAGCATTTATTTGAGATCAAAGCATAACTATTCGGGAATCACTGATTCAGACAGAATCCCAAATAGTGTTCTGACAAAGGCAAGGGGTATTTATGAGAAGGGGAAAGGGAAGAATTACATCCATAGAAGGAAGGCATTTCTATTGATGCCGGTGACATACCATAGTGATGTTAATTCTAAACAACTTTTTAATTTGCAGTCCAGTAGTCCTAATAACTGCTTTCTTACTGTCTTTGCAAGCAGTTCTGCGGGGCACAGGGTTGCTTTCGGCCCAGTTCCAAGGTGATTCTGCCCTGCTTTAGCATTCCAAGGTTTGAGGCATAAGATGTGCAAGGTAGTTCCTGTGGGATAGCAGCTCCAGCTGCATTTTAAAGTGGCTCCTTATTTTTTGTTACATTTTTCCCCTTTTGATGAATATTATTCCTTAAAAACATCACTGATCAATTATCAGACAGCAGCGCTGATACGTTATTAAAAGCAATGGTCCTCCATTTTCAGGAAGTTTTGTTTTCATGCCATTGCCAGTCCCTTGTTGCCAGGAAGGCTCATTCCCAATATGTCTGTCCCACGTAGAAGGGAAAGTGGTTTCTTTGGCCTAAAGGAACACTGGGCCACATTTGAGCAACAAGAGCACCAGAACAGCGGAAGGCTTTCCTTCTATGGACGTAATTCCTCCTTTTTCCCTTCTGCGTTGATGTGGGACAACTCATTGTTCAACATGAGAAGGAGGCGGAGCTGGAGCCACTGGTCTTTGCCAAGCAGCTCTCGGTGAAACTGTGCTGCCAGCTCTGCCTCAGTGTGTTTAAGGACCCTGTCATCACCATGTGTGGGCATACATTCT